TAACAGTAACAGTAACAGTAACAGTAACAGTAACAGTAACAGTAACAGTAACAGTAACAGTAACAGTAACAGTAACAGTAACAGTAACAGTAACAGTAACAGTAACAGTAACAGTAACAGTAACAGTAACAGTAACAGTAACAGTAACAGTAACAGTAACAGTAACAGTAACAGTAACAGTAACAGTAACAGTAACAGCTAATGAGTGTCCTCGGATGCCAACCCTACACAGTTACAAAACGAACACACACTATGTTACACACTTGGGAATCAATGACTTAGTCCCTATCTTGACTCGATGTGGTTCTACATCAATATCCTCATTAAGATGCCTTAAACAAGGTCTAGGAATGCCTAGGATGAAATGAGGATACAAAGATGTACTTTAAAACACTTTTCAAAATTTTCAGAAAACAGGGGTCTCGCTCGAGCGTGGCTTTCTACGCTCGAGCGGACATGCAGACAAAGGATCTCCGCTCGAGCATGACTTCCTTCGCTCGAGCGGACTGTAAACTCATGAAAAGAATTGGATGCATGCAATTCATGCTCGATGGGCGCTCGACCTCCGCTCGAGCGTGAGACACAAGTCCTCGCTTGAGCGTGCATTCCCTCGCTCGAGCGGACTGTAAACATATGAAATGTAATGGATACACGCATTTCACACTCAAACGTTACTTTTCCCGCTCGAGCGGGATACATGTACTCAGAGTGTACGCTCGAGTGTGAAGTCTTACGCTCGAGCGTGGGTCCAAAATTTGGAATTTCCAGATTGAACCTCCAAGCTCAAATTCAACATTTAAAGCATCAAATTCGATTCTTTTGGGCCAATTTTCTGGAAAACACTTTAAAACTCATAATATGACATGTTTCAAAGATCAATTTGCAAAATCAAAGTCTAAAGGTAGTTCAATTGAATCCATTTCCAAACAAAACTTCAAGAACATGATGTACATGCAACATGCAAGTGTTCAATTAAAATCAAAGCTTCCAATACAAGATCAAATGAGCCAATCCTTCCAAAAACATGATGAATTCTTGAGCTATAACTAGAATGTAGACATGCATGTGAGAATTCCCATGAAAACAACCTCAAAACACACCAATGTGTACATGCGTGTATGGATTACAACCCAATTCAACATTTTAAGCCATATCTTGGCTCTAGACTTCAATATCATCCTAGACCAAGCAAGACACAACTTAAACTCATAATCAAGAAGGTGAGTTCTTACCTTAGGTCTTGAATGTTAAGGTGTAGGAGCCTAATTTGTAAAACCTCTTCAATTCTTCAAATTTTCCTAGCCAAAACTTGTTGAAATCAATTCTTCTACTCTCCCTCTCACACTCACTCGATTTGGTCTCAAGAAGGATGATGAAATGAAAATATGCCAACATCTAACAAGGGGAAATAAACAATGGCCTAGAGTTGTCCACTAAGTGGCAATTTCGTAAATAACTCAAACTAATGTATTTTAACATTATTTAATCCAATTTAATCATACCAAATCAAATTTCAATTAAATCTACCATAAAATCACATAAATTCTAATTAGCATAAAACACTAATCAATTTCTGGTTCGGCCGCCGATAAGGCCTTCAATTTGCAGTTCGAAATTAAAACATAAACAGATAAATCAATGACAAACAGATAGAAATGCATTTAACATAACATATTCATGCAATCAGTTTAGGATTTCATCATAATCAGTCACTTATCATGTTCAGTCATAGTTTAGCAGTAATCAGAGGTGAGGGTTGTCACATAATGCATGAATTTGAAGCTTGCATTTGAAAAAGTTAGAGTTCCAAACTTGAGAAAAATTTCAGACTGTTGAACCCAGAACCGTACGTGCGGTGTGAAGCCCTGCATGTACAGTACACCTTCCCCTGTTCCAATTCACTGTTGCTTTAATAGCACATATGGCCCGCACATGCAGTGGTGGCTTCCGCATGTGCGGCCAAGGCCTCAAATACTGAGTGGTTGCTCGAGCACAGGTTCTATCACTCGAACGTAGAAGCAAAATTCTGAAATTTCCAGATTGCTCTTCAAGATGTAATACTCAATTTCAAAGCTTAAAACACATCCTTTTGGGCTCAAGACGTGAGGAAACACATGTAAACTTGTAAAACATGATGAATTCTAGATCATTTTGCTAAATCAAAGCCCAAAAGCTTGCCAATTGTACAAAACAAAACTCAAATCTTTGAAAACATAACATGCATGTTAGTTCTTGGCTTCAAAGCTTTCAAAACATGAGCTATTAAGGTAATTTAGTATGAAACTTCATGAATTCTCAACACAAAGGCAAAATGAACACATGCATGTGGGAATTCTTTGAAATTAAACTTAAAACTTCATGAATTATGCATGCATGTATACAATTCAACTTTATTCTTCCAATTCATGGCATTTCTAGCTTCTTTTCTTCAATGACATGCAAATGAGCTCAAAAATGAGACGAATCCAACTTCCACATGTCGTATCTGCAAGAATTAGAGATGAATATTTTACTTAGTGTTGAATTCAAGTGTTGTCTTAGCTTGATTCTCCAAATCTCTAACAATTCCCCTCAAATTCCTCTTCCTCTCACTAGAATTGTTGAATTCCCCTTTACTCTCTCTTTATTCCCAGCTAAATGTGTTGTCTAAATAAGTTCAAGACATGAATTAGGCTTATATAGGATATAATTAGCTTAGCCTAATTAAGTTTACTAATCTTATTCAATTTTAATTGATTCAAATTATTTATTCTAATTATTCGACTCCGAATCAAATTTCAATTGAACCTATCATAAATTTCTAGAAATACTAAATAACACATAAACCAAGTCAATTTCATGATTGGATGCTGACAAGGCCTTCAATTCGCAAAACAAATCAGAAATACAAATAGATATTTTTATGACAGACAACTATAAACACAAATAATGCAATGCAATGCAATGCACATGTAATTAATTCAGGATTTCATCTTAATTACTCGTTAAGTATTCTTAATCATGGTTTAGCAATTAATCATAGGTTGGGGTTGTTACAAATTTGTCTGATGAGCCATCTGTGAGTAACAACTCTGCAAAGCTATATTTGTTTAAATGTATTTTCTTAATTACAAGTTATGTTATATTTTTGAACTGATAATTATGTAAATGAATGAATGATTGTTTTTTTATGAAATGTATTCATGGCATCCTTTGGTGTCTATTTCTGTTATCAGAGATCTCTGTCGGTTCCATTCATTGGAACTATCTATCTAACCTTCGTGGTTATCTATTTTGATGGTATATGACCATCTATTCTGTTTTGTTAATGGGTGTACCATATATGTTTGTCTACGAATTTGAATCTGATATGCTAAGAAACTCTAGATTAGGAATCTATACTTATGATTCATTCACAATATTGGACATCATTCATTACCTATTTACGTTGTTATTATTTACTGGGTTCCAACTCAGTTTTTATATATGTATGTAAGTGATCGTGTGCAAGACCAAGCTTAGGGTCGACTGTCTAAGACTTCGCTTTAAGTAGCCAACCTTTGTGCCTCAAGTCGAGGTTCCAAATGTGTCAAGTTCAAGGCTTCTTGTATTTTGTGGAGTAACTCTTTTGCTATGTAAATAAATCATTTATGAGTTGTGGTGAAAATGTTAACGTTTTGTAAAGTTAAACCCTTAATTCGTGTCAATATTATATGTGGGATATTATGATGTTTGCTTTTATATTTATATGGAAGTTTTTTTTGTTCATGTAAGTCTTTACAGCTCAATAGATGTTTTAATTTAATAGTTTTGTTTTCGCAAGCCTCTTGGGGTGGGGGTTGGGTCGTGACATTATGCCTTAATTATGGGTTTAACTTTGAAGAGGATTAGTCAATGATGTATAGGAGGATATTGTTAGAGAATTTTGCAATAAGTTTTAATTCATTGGATTCTTCCTTATGCTTCATGTTATCAACTTTGATTTTTTTTTTGGTTAAATTGTTAAATATTTCACCTCTTGTGTTAGAACTTAGGTATTCTCTTCAAACATGCAACGGCCTCAAGGACTTCCACATTGATATATTATTACACCATCAAACTAACAACATTTAAAAATTAAAGCAAAAATTAAAAAGTTTGGAAAGTGACATGTAACATGCAAATTGTATTTGGAAAAGTTAAATATACGCACTTGTATCTACTATCTACCATTTGCAAATCCAACAACATTAATTCCAACCTCATTAATAACAACAAATGTTTGTCATGTTTTTCTTGCTATAACCGTGTTGCGGTAATTTAACAATTTAAATTTAAATTTAAATTGAGTAATACTAGGCATCATAAAAAGTTTTATGAAATCAATTTAAGAGTAATTACATAATAATAAAACACTATAAACTAATTCAAGATTGAAGAATTTTAAATTTTAAGTTTAAAATTGAAATAAAACCACATTGTCTTTAGTTGCTTATTTTCAAAAAAATACATCTTGTTTGATTTCAATTTTTTAAAAATTGAATTTTTTATTTTTAGTAATTTTTTTAATATTTTAAGTAATTTTTTTACTTTTTAAATGTATCTAACTTAAATACACTAAAAAGTAAAATATAAGTAAAAAAAATTTAAAAAAATAAAAAATATACAAAAATATACTGAATTTTTATATTTTTCTTATAATTTTTTATATTTAATAATTTTTTTAAAAATTAAAGTATCAATGATACTATGGGAAAAATGCAGCACCATCAATATTTATCCTATTATGTATAGCATCACTTCCAAAAGTTTTATCGGTGTGGGTCTCACCCCATGTTGTATCTATATAAAATATTTGATAAAATTTTTAAATTTTCTAATATTTTTCATATTTTAAATAGCATATCGAGCAATGTATCGATAGGTGACATAGTCAAACGTTGATCCATATCAAACAGTATCCGCGATATACTTGTAAATAATGGGTATAGAAGGTCCCATATACCGATTCATATGGGCCGATATTTACAACCTTCCTCTATAAATATTGTAAAGCTGGTTCAAATGCATCCCATCCTTGTTCCATACCAATTCAAACTACCAAGTCTCCAACCACCTTTCTCTTAATCCATTCCTCCACAATGACCACAGGAGCACAACCACAAAAGGTGGTTCCTCCACCGCCAGTGGCGGAGTCCAAATACAACAAGCTCATAGAATGTCCAAATACACACATGTTGACTCTTCTATGTCTCATCACTTTCATGCCCATTCTACTACTCATCCACCTCCAATACAACTTCTTCATCATCCTCATCTTCTCCACCCTCCTCATGTTCATATCTGCTCTCTACATCATGACCCGCCCCAAACCCGTTTACCTCATCGACTACTATTGTTATCGCCCGCCGGAGCATCTCCAGGTCTTGTTCAACTGGTTTATCGAGCATTCCCGGCTCACCGGCGGTTTCACCGAGTCGTCGCTCGAGTTCCAGCGCAAGATCCTCGAGCGCTCCGGCCTTGGCGAGGAGACCAGCGTCCCGGCGGGTTTACACCTCCGGCCACCGAGCCAATCCTTCGCCGCCGCTCGCGAAGAAGCCGAGGCTGCCATATTTGACTCCCTCGACAGCCTCTTTAATTTCACCGATATTAAGCCTAAAGATATTGGCATACTAATAGTCAATTGTAGTATGTTCAACCCAACACCTTCTCTATCTTCCATGATTGTGAATAAGTACAAGTTTAGAAGCAATGTTAAAAGCTTCAATTTGGGTGGTATGGGTTGTAGTGCAGGTGTGATCGCTATCGATCTCGCGAAGGACATGTTACAAGTTCATCGAAACACTTTCGCTGTCGTTGTTACCACTGAGAACATTACTCAGAACTGGTATTGTGGGAACATGAAATCTATGATGGTATCCAATTGCTTGTTTCGTGTTGGCGGAGCGGCTATTTTGTTATCAAACAAACCCGCGGACCGCTACAGGGCCAAATACAAGTTAGTCCATGCTGTAAGAACACATTGCGGTGCTAATGATGAAGCCTTTCGCTGCGTGTCTCAAGAGCAGGACGAAAAAGGCAAAAGCGGCATTGCGTTGTCTAAAAATCTCATGGTGATCGCGGGAGAAGCACTTAAAGCCAACATCAAAACATTGGGACCTCTTGTGCTGCCAATTAGCGAACAACTTCTCTTTTTTATGTCTATCATTAAGAGGAAGTTGCTTAATAAGAAAATTAAGCCTTACATTCCGAATTTTAAATTGGCTTTTGAGCATTTTTGCATACACGCGGGTGGAAGGGCAGTGATCGACGAGCTTGAGAAGAATTTGCAGCTTTTGCCAGTACATGTGGAGGCTTCTCGTATGACTCTGTATCGGTTTGGGAACACTTCGTCGAGTTCAATCTGGTACGAGCTCGCTTACATAGAGGCTAAGGGGAGGATGAGAAAAGGGCATCGAGTGTGGCAAATTGCATTCGGGAGTGGGTTCAAATGTAACAGTGTGACATGGAAAGCTCTTCAAAATGTGAAGTCATTGCATCACAATCCTTGGGCAGATTGCATTCACAGGTATCCTGTGCAGAACGTGTAGTGTTATCAGCTCGTATATACCAAACTACGCAAGTATGATATGGTATGAGCTGGTAACACGGCATTGGTTTGATCGCAGTATCACACCAAGTAGTTCGAGAATATGATATTGTTTTTTCTATTATCGTTTTATTCATGACATAAAGCAATGCTCTGTAGTTCTCCATTGATTATGTTTAGTTTAATAGTTTCTACGAAATGAAATGTATGATATGTATATGTTTAATTTAACAAATTTGCAACTCCTATTCTTGAAGAATCATACATAGAATTGAAAATTGAAAGAGCAAATTAGAAATTGTAGTATAGGGTTAGGGAAACAGAGAGATTGATTTAGGGTTCAAAGAGTTGTTAACTTGAAAACCGATGTTTAGACCTCTCTTGAATCCACTGGTAATTTCTTACCAAAAAAGCAAGTTTGAAAGCACCCAGAAAATAATTTTTTTTTAGCAATTATTAAATACATTAACTTCTTTACATTCTAGGGGAAAAAAAAAAAACCCTACCAAAAAAGTATTTGTCAAACCCCACCTTAAAATGCTAACTTTGCAATCAAAGAAGGCTAGCATGCGTATTTGTTTAGTGCATCTCAATAATGTCACTTTGTCTTGAGGTTGATGACTACATGGCACATAGCTAAACCCCTAAACCCTACATGCTAAATATGTTATCTTTCTTTTCCCTGTAATTATTTTGATTTGAAATATAGTAATCACAGCAAAATCATGCATAGTTACATGAAAACCACATCCACTTCATTAAATTTTCTGTGTGTTTTTTGCAAGATTTTAAAAATTAGTTATAATGTTAATATGGGTTGTAGAAGAAAATTAATTTCTTCTACTTTTCACCACTTTCAAGCTAAACAAACTCATAAAAAACTTTTTTTCTTTTCCCTCACTTTCTACTTTTTCATCCTAAACAAACAGCTAGTGCACGTTTTCAACTTCTCTTCCAAATACCCAAAACAAAAAACCATAGATCAACACCATTGGCTAATGTCCCAAACATCTTTAGGGTATGGGGTTTGCTATATTTAACATCTTTTGTAAAAATAAAAATTAAAAAAAAAACCCCATCAATTGACACATTCCATAAAGATCGATCAGGAACTGTAATTACTTTTTATTCTCTTCACACGTTCAATCTGTGTTGGAACTAACCTAATTACCAAACAATAACTAGTATAGAATAAATCACAGGTTGTTTCCGCAAATTAAACTCTAAACAATCAGAATCATAGCTCAATAGTCATAACAATTTTGAACTAATTGAGGTAGTTATCAGGAACAAGGTAATGGGAAAACTTAGCATACTCGTGACGTTCTGTACTCACTCACCTCAGATGAACAAACTAGAAAGTGAGAAATTTCCCAAAACAAAATGTTATAGATTGCATAAATTGCAAATAACCAGCATTGGACAAAGCATTGTAGTTCTGATACTAAATATCAACCGACGACGAAATGAATAACTAGACATATATATACTACTTAGCCACGTTAGTTTGAAGGGGCACAGAACTTTCCACTTCCTTCATGTCCGAGCTCCTTTCTGCAACAACTTTCGACATTCCAAACATCTGAGAAAGCACAGCCACAATGTTTCATCAGCATCAAATATAAAAAAACGTATGTAGATGTTTATGTTAACCAAGAAAAAACATGTACAAAGTTAATAGAAGTTGTTATGTAAGTTGAAATCAACCTTCTGGATGGTATTTTTGAAACATGTTTTGTGTTCATCCATAGAAGAATTAATGAACTCATCAATGTGATCCCTCAAATCTGCCAAGAAAGTGGCGTCTTCTGACTTCTTCTTTCGACATGAGGTGATTGCTGGTTTTGTGGCAGCAGCAGGCGATGGTTGCTTCTCAGTTTGAATTTTTTCTGAATCCATTTTTGGTAAAACTTGTTTCAAAGTTCTGGCATAACCACAGCATAACAACAAAAGAGTTTGATTGCATGATAGTAGTATGATACAAATATGTTTATTTAGCTGCTGTAATCATCTTAATGCCCTGTCTGCAAAATATAGTTCTAATCTATCAAATAATTCAACTAAAATGACGGGGCAGGAAAACTGTAACAAGTCAGAAATCAACAGTCCTTAATTACAAAAAAAATGCAGACATGAGTGGATATTATTAAGAAGACAGAATGAGTAAATATCACTGCAAAGTTATTCCCCTAGGTAGAAATAGAAAATTAATATATATGTACATGTTTTTCTAGTAAGTTTTTCCTCAGCCACTCCATTTTTGTTTAGATGGAATGGTTACAACCAAAGCTATCTCCTAGAAAGGATTACAAAATTTAGGCCATTCAAACTTGTTCTGTGTTAGAGACTTAAAAGTAGAATTCAGTGAGAAGTATGCATAATTTTGTAAGAGTAGACTTGAATGAAAAGAAAAAACCCATAGCTCTCAATATGAGAGACAGAAACGTGAAACGTAGTTCAAAAATATGGATAAGTGAGAAACACTATATGATATTTATAAAAGAAAAATATTATTAAGAATCTTAAAATAGTAATATAAAGTAGTAGAATACTCACATAATCAATTAAAATAGTAATGCTGCACCATATCTATGAAAAAATTATTTGAGAGCACAAAAAATAGTAGAATTTATAAGAAGCTCTCTAACAAGTATATTTAACTCGTGCCATAGTTTTTGAAACATCATGGAAAAGTTTCCCTTAAAATTTCATGAGTGTTTCGCTGCGGTTCCTAAAACAAGTTTCCAAGAAAACAAATCTCCCCTCTTAAATATTCACCCCAAAAAAAATTTCCCTCTTAAAAAGAGTTTCGTGTACACATCCAGACCTAAGCTTAGGACATGGCGATTATTTAACATCCAATTGGAGCCTTTTCCTTAAGAATAAGGCAATAGAAGTGCATAGAGGCCATATACATCATATTTCCTTGAACACATTACAACCCTTGCTAACAGAACAGTACCAAATAATTAGTCAAACAAGAACCGTTGAGGTCTGAAATTTTTACAAAAATTTAAACACTTCAGAATCGAGAAAATATTGCATAAAGTAGCAGAAAATTTTACGGGTGGGACATGATAGACTCACTTATTAGTGTGGACTGTTGTTTCCCATAGCCTGGGACCATCACGTGGACAACAAGGCCGCATATTACTCTGGGACTGTCTAATAATTTTCTGACAAACCAATTGGGACTAGCCAAATTGATCAGAACCTTTAAAAATGTAAAATAAAAAAAAAACAAAAAATTACTTCTGCCTAGCAAAAACCAGTATCTAAAGTATAGTATAGACCATAAGCATAAAACAGTGATCAATTCTAAACCTAAACAAGGCAAAATAGGCTCATTGAAATCACAACATGTGTATCTTTCCACTTGCATATCAAGTGTTTGATAAAACGTCTCTCAGAGAACAACAACAACAACAGATTTTTCTATACACACGACTCGTAAACCACAGAAAAAAATTCACCGAGGAGTCACAAATCACAGAACGATGTGCTCAAAGAGTGATCAACTATATGACTTTCATATAATCAAATTGAAATATTTCAAAACAAAAATCAAAAACAAAAAAAACAAAAATTGTACCTCAATGACAAAGAATGGAAGCAGATTCTAGCGGTTCCTCTCTCTAGATGATATCTCTCACTATATATATAATTGTTTATTGTAAATTGTAAATAAATACATTTGTTTATTGTAAATTGTAAATAAATAAATGAAAATATAGAACTGCTATGATGGTGCGAACGAATGGAGTGTAATGAGCCACGTCTACGTGGCAGTGACACATTGGTTCCAAACAAGAGTAGTCAGTGTGATTAAACAGTTTAAGTTGATGTAACCAGCGTCGTAGCGACACGTCATGAAGCTTACAAGAGATTAATACACCAGATTTAAGCTATCTGGCTTGGGAAGCAAGTTTGTCGTCGGTTAGTCGTTTTGGAAAACGATGTTAAAACAGAACTCCTTATCTTTCTCTTCAAGAATCCAGTTATCATCCGCCATTTATTGAACCTCCCAATTGGGCTTAGGCCCATGAATTCGGCAAGATGCTCCACACCTTTTAACAATTCGGCCTGACTAAGCCCAAATTGGACATGTGTTAATTAGACCTATACCCTCTACATACTTTTTGAAATTACACTCTTTTCTTTTATTTATTGAAAGAGTATTGTTATATCTACCGAATTTAAACTCATTCAAATTGTTTGAATTTGTGTATATCGGTCATTCGATATGATGCCGATTGACACACCTGTAGATAAGAGTGACGTCGATCGTTCGAGCAATCGTCTAGAAAGTCATTCGATAGACATTATTTTTCTTATTCGGTGGATCTATTATTTTTCTTATTGAAAAACAAATGCTAATATAATTTCATTTTTAATTTTTATTTATTAAAATATATTTTGTTCATGTATTTAGTGATATTCGATAAAATTAATTTTTTACACATACGATTTTCACTATAAAATTTTAAAAATAAACAATTTAGATTATCATTATGAAATTAAAAGTGAGACTCGTAAAATAGAATACGAATGATAGTGAATGCTCGTTTGGAAACTTGGCTATTTAGTATTTTTTTTTTGCTATTTTATGAGATAAAATAATTGTGTGTTTTGAATGATTTGTAATTTATTTTTATAGTTAAATAGAAAATTGTAAAAAAATAATAATTAATTAGTGAATAGAATGTGATCTTATTAATTATTTAAATTTTTTTAATCTTTATTAAATATTTTAGTCACAACCAAGCATCTCAAACAAAACTTTTAGTGTGTTTGATTTCAATTTTTTAGAAATTAATTTTTTATTTTTTGTATTTTTTTATTTTTAGTGAATATTTTTTAAATTTTAAGCATTTTTTTCCTTTTTCAGATGCACCCTACTTAGCTGTATCTAAATAGTAAAATATTTGTAAAAAAATATTTTTAAAAATTAATAAATATACAAAAATATTAAAAAATGTATTGAATTTTTGTATTTTTTGTTATATTTTTGGTATTTAATAAATTTTTTAAAGATTTTTTTTTAAAAGAAAAATTCATAAATATTATACTTTATAAGTGTATTTATATTAAGTGTGTATAAAAATTACTTAAAATATTAAAAAAATTAATTGAAAACAAAAAAATATAAAATATAAAAAATAATTTATTTTTTTTTTTAAATTTTTTCTCTAAACCAAAATCAAACCAGCAGATATAACCCAAAAGAATTGATCTACGCAGATATAACCCAAAACAAGAATAATGTTTGAGAGGTACAATTTGTGTGGCTCAAATGGCTCAAAACTGTTAAAACGACGTCGTTTTGACATGTTTTGTGCTCAAAACAATGTCGTTTTAACAGTTTTGAGCCATTTAAGCCACAAAAATTGTGACCCTCTACCATTGCCCCCAAAACAATTGATCTACTGGTGCAGCTTAAGTCAATCATAAAAACCAAAAAGATTGCGATATGACTTCACATCACATCAGCCCAGCTTTGAACGGGTCGCATCGAATCTTCCCCTCCTAATTTCAGTGTTGACCTTGACATGATCCATTGAAAATACTCTCCTCCGCTCGTCTTAAAATATTTTTTTATTGTATAATTGATATATTTTAAAATTACCTTCTAATTTACAGGTTGTTTGGAATGTCTTAAATAAGTGTACTTTTTATCTTTTTGAACTAAAAAGTTGAGAAAAAAATATAAATATTTGAGTTAACTTTTTGACTTTTTATGAAAAAATGTATATTAAAAAATTATATAAAGAAGTATGTAGAAGAAGATTGGAGATGAGTAAATGACAACTAGACGGTCTCGTAGCCAAATTCTTAGTAAGAAATTATTGGATACTTTTCGGGCATTGTAGTGGACTGTTTTGTTCGCCCTGTGGGGGCTATTACGGGTCCCATTTTGATAATTTGAACCGTTCAATGTGTAAAACTTGTCGAGCACTATATGTCTATAAAAAATCACGTTGATCAGATATCGATAGCTATCTGATCATATTTATTTTTTTTCAATCGTTAATTATAACACAATTCATTTTTTTCATACAAAACTGATTTGATCATGTAACTATCGATATCCAATCAATGTGATTTTTTATAGATATATAGTACTTGACGATTTATACACAACGGTTTAGATTATCAAAACATGACCCGTGATAGGCCCCCACGGGCCGAACAACAATGTGTGAAAAATTGCCCCAAACTGTCTAATACTTGGGACAAATGCTGCACAGCCCCTTTGACTTTTCATGATGGAAACTGATTTGATCATGTAACTATCGATATCCAATCAATGTGATTTTTTATAGATATATAGTACTTGACGATTTATACACAACGGTTTAGATTATCAAAACACGACCCGTGATAGGCCCCCACGGGCCGAACAACAATGTGTGAAAAATTGCCCCAAACTGTCTAATACTTGGGACAAATGCTGCACAGCCCCTTTGACTTTTCATGATGGCTGAGTTGTATGATGTGTATGAAATTATTTTTTTTAATAACTTTTTTTATGAATAATGATAACTTTTTAATTTTTTGAGTAATTTTTTAATTTTTTGGCTTTTTTCAGAGTTGCCAAACTTGGCCTTAAAATTAAAATAGTATTTTTTTAAATATCAATTGTTATAATTATATTTTTTTATGTATATTAATGTTAATAAATTTAAAAGAATAGTACAATATAAAATATATATTATTTTATTACCTGATTTTTAAAAAATGACTTATATTTTGTGATAATAAAAAATAAAATAAAGAACTAATATTTTGGAATCCAAGAAGTAATAATTTACATCACTTACAACATTTTATTATTGTGAAAAAAATATAAAATGCAATAAAAATTATGATAAAAATTTAAATTTAGTAAAATATGAAAAATGAATATAGTTCATAAATTTACTTTTTAAAATAATTTTTTGAACCCGTTTGGGAAGAAGATTTGCGGCTAAAATAGCCACAAAAGACAAAATAGGCTATTTTAGCCAAACAAAATATCACATTCAACCCATAATCATTACACTCTTCTCTCACAAAAAAATTCAAAAAATCAAAAAATCAAAAAGTTATTCCCAAACCAAGCTTTTTAGCCCAACCCACTTCCCAAACCAACCCGTAATGTTATTATAAAAAAATAGAGGTTGCTTCAACTCTAGTATTTAAACAAATATATATATATATATAAAAGTTCGTCAAAATTAACTCAACAAAACATTGATATACAATTTGGAGTACTCAAAAAATTTGTCAAGAATATTATTTATAAAAAATAAATTATAATTGAAATTTAATTGATGTATTATTAACTTTATGTACGACGCTCATTAATTTCATAGAGGGGTTGATTCTACCATTAAGATTATTAATCTCATAGCAACTAACCCTATTCGTTGGTGTGGTTTGGGATTATTTTTTTAGTGATTTTTTTAATAATTTTTTTAGTTAATTTTAAAAATAAATTCAAAAGTTTTACATGTTTAGATTTTATTTGACTAGAAGAAAGGAAGAAAAGAAAGAAAAAAAAAATTAAATAATTATTGATAAACAAAAAAAAAAAAAAAATAAAAATAGTTTTTTTAAAATAAACCTTTTTTGTTTTTATTTTTAATTTGTAGATCCTTCTACAGTAAATGGACCATAAAATTAAAAAAATTGATTCAAATTTGAAAATCATTAAAGATAAATAGGTTCTGAAAAAAAAAATAGCTGAATAAAAAATATGTATAATTTTTATTTATTTATTATAAAAATAATATTGTCCTTCCCTCTAAAACTGCAAAAGGCAACAACAGTGGTGGAGCCGTAAATTTAGTGTAGAGGGGCACATATTAATCATAACATTGAATTTTTTTCCTCCCATAACAAGTAACAATGAGATATTAGTAAATTTATACATTTTTATTTTTATTTTTATTACAATTATTCTGAGATTTTACATTAACGTAACTTATAAATCCACAATTAATAACTAAATTCTATTAACCAAATAATCAATAAGTTAAATCCTTTTAACTCAAAAAAAGTGTCCCACAATGAGGAGAAATAAGCAACTAAATGAATCCCATAACAAGAAATAAATTATCAATTGATTCAATTCTTATCTTGACCTATCAATTAAAAGTGTACAAGAATAATCAAAATAATAAAATTTTAAAATTTTAAAAATACAAGAAAATTTACATAATTTAAGGAGGGTCACTATTAAATTTTATAAAAGACAAATTATGAAATCCCGTATTTGAGAGTAATATTGAAAGAGAATTTGTAATCTAAACTCTGTATTGAATCAAGATTGAGGCTCCATTATATAGGAGTTTGTTACACAAACATTATGATGATACATTTGAATATAATAAGAAAAAGTGGCCGAAAGCTGGTGGCCCGAAAGCCTTTCTGACAAAGGGAATCCTATGCTATAATTGGTGTTGTCTTATACTATAATATATTAACAACAGGTATAGTATTGTATTATAAAAACCATGGGCTTGCTCCCCATGTTTTCTCACCTCTCACTTTCCACGTGCAATCATTTTACAGAAAATGTGGTGGACATGCAAGCTATACACCTCCCTTCTTTTTAATTTGTCTTCATCATAAATTGAGCCTAGCTTTTCCTCACATTTCCTCATCTTTCTCTTCACTTCCAGTTTCATCTGTCGGTTCTCCCTCTCCCTCCACCTCTCATTCTCAAAACTCTCTTTCTCCTTCTTTATCTATGTTTTTCCTCCTCCCCCGACCTCTATAGCCATGGCCTCAACCCATACTATCACCATCCGAAACACCAACACGTGAACTTCA